TTTAGAATTTTTTCCGTAAATAACCAATCATACTGAATCTGGCGAATTAGTAAAACAAACAAAATAATACTAATAATACTAAAACTACTACTACTACTAATAATAATAATAATAATAATAATAATAAAATTATTGAAAGTATTTTAGAATTTTTTTCCGTAAATAACCAATCATACTGAATCTGGCGAATTAGTAAAACAAACAAAATAATACTAATAATACTAAAACTACTACTACTACTAATAATAATAATAATAATAATAATAATAAAATTGGCTGAAAGTATTTTAGAATTTTTCCGTAAATAACCAATCATACTGAATCTGGCGAATTAGTAAAACAAACAAAATAATACTAATAATACTAAAACTACTACTACTACTAATAATAATAATAATAATAATAATAATAAAATTGGCTGAAAGTATTTTAGAATTTTTTTCCGTAAATAACCAATCATACTGAATCTGGCGAATTAGTAAAACAAACAAAATAATACTAATAATACTAAAAACTACTACTACTACTAATAATAATAATAATAATAATAATAATAAAATTGGCTGAAAGTATTTTAGAATTTTTTCCGTAAATAACCAATCATACTGAATCTGGCGAATTAGTAAAACAAACAAAATAATACTAATAATACTAAAACTACTACTACTAATAATAATAATAATAATAATAATAATAAAATTAGAATTTTTTGAAAGTATTTTGAAATTTTTCCGTAAATAACCAATCATACTGAATCTGGCGAATTAGTAAAACAAACAAAATAATACTAATAATAAAAACTACTACTACTACTAATAATAATAATAATAATAATAATAATAAAATTGGTTGAAAGTATTTTAGAATTTTTTTCCGTAAATAACCAATCATACTGAATCTGGCGAATTAGTAAAACAAACAAAATAATACTAATAATTAAACTACTACTACTACTAATAATAATAATAATAATAATAATAATAAATTGGCTGAAAGTATTTTAGAATTTTTCCGTAAATAACCAATCATACTGAATCTGGCGAATTAGTAAAACAAACAAAATAATACTAATAATACTAAAAACTACTACTACTAATAATAATAATAATAATAATAATAATAAATTTTTGAAAGTATTTTAGAATTTTTTCCGTAAATAACCAATCATACTGAATCTGGCGAATTAGTAAAACAAACAAAAATAATACTAATAATACTAAAACTACTACTACTAATAATAATAATAATAATAATAATAATAAAATTTGAAAGTATTTTAGAATTTTTTCCGTAAATAACCAATCATACTGAATCTGGCGAATTGTAAAACAAACAAAATAATACTAATAATACTAAAAACTACTACTACTAATAATAATAATAATAATAATAATAATAAAATTGGCTGAAAGTATTTTAGAATTTTTTTCCGTAAATAACCAATCATACTGAATCTGGCGAATTAGTAAAACAAACAAAATAATACTAATAATATAAAACTACTACTACTACTAATAATAATAATAATAATAATAATAAAAAAATTTTAGAATTTTTCCGTAAATAACCAATCATACTGAATCTGGCGAATTAGTAAAACAAACAAAATAATACTAATAATACTAAAACTACTACTACTACTAATAATAATAATAATAATAATAATAATAAAATTATTGAAAGTATTTTAGAATTTTTCCGTAAATAACCAATCATACTGAATCTGGCGAATTAGTAAAACAAACAAAATAATACTAATAAACTAAAACTACTACTACTACTAATAATAATAATAATAATAATAATAATAAAATTTTGAAAGTATTTTAGAATTTTTTCCGTAAATAACCAATCATACTGAATCTGGCGAATTAGTAAAACAAACAAAATAATACTAATAATACTAAAACTACTACTACTACTTTATTTTAGAATTTTTTCCGTAAATAACCAATCATACTGAATCTGGCGAATTAGTAAAACAAACAAAATAATACTAATAATACTAAAACTACTACTACTAATAATAATAATAATAATAATAATAATAATAAAAATTGGCTGAAAGTATTTTAGAATTTTTTCCGTAAATAACCAATCATACTGAATCTGGCGAATTAGTAAAACAAACAAAATAATACTAATAATACTAAAAACTACTACTACTAATAATATTAATAATAATAATAATAATAAAAATTGTTTTGAAAGTATTTTAGAATTTTTTCCGTAAATAATAATCATACTGAATCTGGCGAATTAGTAAAACAAACAAAATAATACTAATAATTTAAAACTACTACTACTACTAATAATAATAATAATAATAATAATAAAATTGGCTGAAAGTATTTTAGAATTTTTTCCGTAAATAACCAATCATACTGAATCTGGGAATTAGTAAAACAAACAAAATAATACTAATAATACTAAAACTACTACTACTACTAATAATAATAATAATAATAATAATAATAAAATTGGCTGAAAGTATTTAGAAATTTTTTCCGTAAATAACCAATCATACTGAATCTGGCGAATTAGTAAAACAAACAAAATAATACTAATAATACTAAAACTACTACTACTACTACTAATAATAATAATAATAATAATAATAAAATTGGCTGAAAGTATTTTAGAATTTTTCCGTAAATAACCAATCATACTGAATCTGGCGAATTAGTAAAAACAAACAAAAATAATACTAATAATACTAAAACTACTACTACTACTAATAATAATAATAATAATAATAATAATAAAATTGGCTGAAAGTATTTTAATTTTTGAGATAAATAACCAATCATACTGAATCTGGCGAATTAGTAAAACAAACAAAATAATACTAATAATACTAAAACTACTACTACTACTAATAATAATAATAATAATAATAATAAAATTGGCTGAAAGTATTTTAGAATTTTTTCCGTAAATAACCAATCATACTAAATCTGGCGAAGTTGTAAAACAAACAAAATAATACTAATAATACTAATACTACTGCAACTACTACTACTACTAATAATAATAATAATAATGATAATAATAATAAAATTGGCTGAAAGTAGATTGTAGAATCTGGCGAAATAGTAATAAATAAAATGAAATAAAAACACCAACAAAAACAAAAACAATAATAATAATAATAATCCTCTTCGTCTGAACGTATCGCAGACTTTTGAGTATCCATTACATCGTAATGTCGTCTGACATTCTCTATGCGTTCAAGACCATCTTTATTTTTATGTCATTATTTTTTCTCCATTTCCGGCGGTGGGGGTATTTTCTCAAAGTTCTCAAGAGCCTCGGTGGATTATATCGGCTGTTGGAGAAGATTTTCAAATAAATATTTCTCCTATGTCGGGAAGAAAATATGGACAATTGAATACATTTCATTTAATCTCGCCGCCATATTTCCGAAAAATTTTCTTTGCTACGTAATTTTTTGGGACATCTTTTATTATTATTATTTTAATTCCATGCAGAAATAAGGCGATTTGCAGTACTCCAATACTGTGATTAGTGCCTGCGGCTCATATTGGCCGGGTTCTTCGTGTCTTTTGTCTTATTCAGCTATCCTTATTCTACAAAGAATTAGCAAAAGCAAATGGCGTATTTTAAACTTCCACGAGATCAGCCATGTTGTAATTTTATTGTAATTTTTAGCGCTTTAGTTTAGCTAAACAAAGCCCAAGGTACGTATGAGCATCTATTTGTATATGTATTGAGCCTGTTCCTCATCGGGCGCTAAATTTAGATAATTAAACGACCTTACATGTAGGTAATTGTCGGTGGTCCCAAAATTCTATCTCAGAAAAAAAGTGTTTAAAAACTTCATTATTTGCTCATGTTGGGAATTGGTCGGACCGAGATATTTTAAGCACCCTCATGTATATATATGTATATATATATATATATATATATATATGTGTGTGTGTGTGTGTGTGTGTGTGTGTGCGTGCGTGCGTCTGTGTGTTTTTGTGTGTTAAATGTGTGTGTATATATATAAATATGTGTGCTTGCGTGTGTTGTGTGCGCACAGGTGTGTGTGTGTGTGAAAAATGTATATATATATATATATATATATATATATATATATATATTGAGCAGCATATATTTCATATTATAAAGAGATAATCATACATTGAATCAATTAGCAATATTAATGCAATTAATGGCGAAATCTCTTCGCTAACAGACTTAATATAAGCATTAAACTACTAACAATCCACTGAATGATGCGATCTTTATGTATAAAATTGTTGTCAGATGGATCGAAAACACTTACAACAAAAGAATTCGTGGATTTACCAAATTATAAAGTTCATATGAAAAAAGAAATTCTCACTTCAAATATTTGAACGTTAGCGTTGCGATTTGCACGTTTCAATATTATATAACCGTTAATAAATAACACGTTGTTTAAAAAACATATTTCGGTCTTCAACACATTTATTTCGTCTTCGAGTTTTAATTTTAAAGGAATAAAATACAGCCTGATGATAAGGACATAAAGTTCTTGAAAGTACTTGTTGCTCTAAAAAATATGCCAGTTTCATCTGACAACAATTAATGCTTACATTAAGGCTGTTAGCGAAGAGATGTCGCTATTAATTGTTATAAAGATGTACTAATAAATCATTACCTCGCTTTCAGATCTAGGAAGTATAACAAAGCATCCTATAAATCCTTCAGTAGAGTAAAGTGCAATAAAGCTTTAGTATAAGTTTATTCACTGGTCCTGTTTTTACTACAAAAGAGATAGAGGAAAAGAGGTTAGTCTATTGTAATTTGGTCTCTCAAAAAAGGAACTAGCATAATACACGAGATACATGATAAAGTCTTTTTTTGAAAGTGAAAATTTCAGGGTTGTACGATACGCGAAATCGCGCGTTCCACGAGAATATACGGTATACTTATAGGGTACTTCGAGGCAGTGTAATGGTTAGCAAGCGTGTCTCGCTAGAACAACAAAAAATGGGAGAGTTCCGTAGGGGTTAAAAGCCATTTTCGGTACCGTTACACGCTGTTTGTTCCGCCGTCTTCCTCCCAATTTTCTCATCTCCGTTTCTTTTCACCTTTTCATTTCACCCTTTCTGTTCACCCATTCTTTTCGCCCTTTCTTTTCGCCCTTTCTCTTCGCCCTTTCTTTTTACCCTTTTTTTCGCCCTTTTCTTCACCCTGTCTCTTCACCCTTTCTATTCACCCTTTCTCTTCACCCTTTCTCTTCACCCTTTCTCATCACCCTTTCTTTTCGCTCTTTCTTTTCACCTTTTTCCTTCACCCATTCTTTCGCCCTTTCTTTTCGCACTTTCTCTTCAAACTTTCTTTTCGCCCTTTCTTTCACACTTTCTCTTCACACTTTCTATTCACCCTTTGTTTTCACCCTTTCTTTTCACCCTTTCTCTTCACCCTTTCTTTTCACCCTTTCTCTTCACCCTTTCTTTTCACCCTTTCTCATCGCCCTTTCTTTTCACCCGTTCTCTTCACACTTTCTTTTCGCCATTTCTTTTCACTCTTTCTCTTCACCATTTCTTTTCAACGTCTTTCCCCCCTTTCTCTTCACCCTTTCTATTCGCCCTTTCTATTCACACTTTCTCTTCACCCTTTTTTTCGCCCTTTCTCATCGCCCTTTCTTTCCACCCTTTCTCTTCGTCCGTTGTCTTCGCACTTTTTATCACCTTTTTTTTTCCCCTTTTCTCTTCACCCTTTCTCTTCACCCTTTCTTTTCGTCCTTTCTCTTCGCCCGTTCTCTTCACCCTTTCTTTTCAGCAAACTACTCACCTCAGGTTCTTCATTCCCATGAACCTGTTTTCAACCAAGTCTATAGGAATCAATATGGCTTGTTATTTTTACCTGTAGCTGTAGGGAATAGAGATGGATTCATGCCTTTTACAAGGGTATTTGCACGTAAGCGAATGTAAAGGAACTAGACTAGAAATTGAACTCAATCCGAACTCCTATCCATAACTCCGCCGGAAGAAGTGACAGAGAGATAATGGCTGCACGATGTCTTCAAAGCGTTAGGATTGTGGTTTTAAGGGAAGATATGGAGCCAGCAGTCTCTTCCACAAAGTGAAGAATCTCTATGGATGGAACTACCTCCTTGAAAAAAGAATGAAAAAGGAATGATGGTCATTAGAATCTGGGAACGTAATACGACTTGTTTCAGTTATTGTTGTGGAGTTATTTCGCAGTGGATGTTTGTATTTGTCCTAAATTATGTTCGACGTACAAAACGTTACAAACTTGATATAATAAGTATTACGCAGAAGTAATCTAGTTGTGGTCGCTGATACTTTCGTATTCGACTAACTGTCGTCCGACATCGACTCACTGACTGACTCGTTACTCTTACTACTACTTATTATAAGTGGGAGGGTCTATTAACTATAGAATAGTTGTGTTCCACCATAACAGTTATAAATGTACTAACAGGTGGAAACTAAAGATGGCAGCTCGTCAGAATATTTGCCATGGAAATAGCGATATATGTAAAAAAATGAAACTGGACTCTCCTCTCGTTTTCTTCCAATGACGGTACCGAACAGCCAGTACTATCCACACATATGATTTGATAACAGTAAAGGATTTAGGAAGGGTCGTATACAAAGTGTGTGCACAGAGAAAGAAATTTGGCATAAAATAATACAAATATTCAGATATTAAATTATATAGTAATAAAGTTCTCTGATGATTGGAACAGCAGAGTTAAAATAATAATATATATAATATAATATATATATATATATATATATATATATATATATATATATTACAATAAACGTGCAATCAATTTACAAATACATGAATCATTCACACAAAACTAATGCAAAGGTTAATGATTTAAATGGCGAGACATCCATCTCGCAAACAATTCAAATAGTACACAAAAACCTCCAGATCCGTTAGGAATGAATTGATCCTTGTTTATATAAATTTCTGCCGTATTAGTTGTTATTTTTACTACAAGCGTTCGTCTGTTCCTACAGACATCTTCAGGTATATAATAGATGTTGTTCTTGTTTTTTTTCTCTTAGTAATAAGAGGACATCGAAAATATATGTGTATTGTATCCGAAATGCTATTGAAAATGAGATATTGGTTTTTGAACGCGCCAAAGCAACGCTGAGTTTGATTTTAAATTTCTTTTTTTAAAGTGTTTGCGTTTATACCAAATATGGTAATGAACAAATTATTTTACTGGTAAATTTTACTGTCAAAGTGGCATGAACTATATTGTTCAATAATTACAGAAAAAAACAAGAACAACATCTATTATATACCTGAAGATGTCTGTAGGAACAGACGAAAGCTTGTAGTAAAAATAACAACTAATACGGCAGAAATTTATATAATCAAGGATCAATTCATTCCTAACGGATCTGGAGGTTTTTGTGTACTATTTGAATTGTTTGCGAGATGGATGTCTCGCCATTTAAATCATTAAGCATTAGTTTTGTGTGAATGATTCATGTATTTGTAAATTGATTGCACGTTTATTGTAATTTAAATAACTGATCCATGCGCGACTTTTCGTTAATAAGTGCGACATTACTGTAATTATTGAACAATATAGTTCATGCCACTTTGACAGTAAAATTTACCAGTAAAATAATTTGTTCATTACCATAACTAGGTATATATATATATATATATATATATATATATATATATATATATATATATTACCTAGTTATTTGTAAAATATCAAGAAGGAGTTGGTTCTGAAAGTGTCGTGTGGCAACCCGTTGAGGAGAATGACAACTGAATTCAAAACTTGACGAAACTCTTTTTTAGAACATGACGGTCACTATGCTCACTAGTTCGGCATTGGTTTCTTTTACACAAGTCTTCACCACTATAATCAAATAATGTGATAGTAATTTACTGCGTTTTCTAGCCTTCTATATCAATTTCAAATTCATGAGGCAAGTTTTTTATTTTATATATATATATATATATATATATATATATATATATATATATATATATATATATATATATATATATATATATATATATATATATATAAAAATACATGAATCATTCACACAAAACTAATGCAAAAGGTTAATGACGGAGAGTCGATTATATATATATATATAATCGACTCTCCCGTCGAGTTCGACGTATGAGAGTCAGGCCGATAAGTTTCCAGGAAACCGACATCCCGACATCGGCACATTAGATTTGATTATAGTGGTGAAGGCTTCGTGCAGGACCAGCCACACTTTTTGGAGGGACGAATACAGAGACCTGGTGCACCGAATGCCACAAGGTTCCCAAACGACCCTCCGCCGGTTTTGAATTCAGAGTTGTCCTTCTCCTAGACCAGTTGCCATCCAAGGCTATAGAACCCAGTCTGTCCTGCTATTTTACCCATAGCTGGAGGGAGATGAAGAGGATTCATACCTTTCCCAAGGGTATTAGCACGTAAGTGAATGTAATGGATTCGACTGGAATTCGAACTCGGCTCTGCGATTCCTCAATCCAAGCCGCTATCCATTACTCCACCGTGCCTCTATATAAACTCTGACTGACACCAAATGCATGTCGGATGTCTAGTTGCACTGAGGAGCTGTGATACAGCGAAAGACTTCTGTCTATATATGAGATAATTTATCTCTTGAAAATATATTTCAATCGAGGACTGTTAAGAGATAATCTGATTCTATAAACAACAGCCACCTGCGTTAATGCAAAGCTCTTCAGTAAAAATGAATTAGAGCACTACGGCTGATTGGCATTTGTGTACAGTTGTAAAACCAATACGCTTGAATGATGATAGCACAACGAGAGAAACTATATATATATATATATATATGTGTGTGTGTGTGTGTGTGTGTGTATGTATATGCATATATAGGCATATATAGGCACACATACATTTTGATCAAGAAGGTTCATATTTATTCATATTTTTAAAATGTCGGGGACTAAATATTTATTATTACTTCACACACACACACGTACGCACACACACACACATACATACACACACACACATTTATGTATATATATATATATATGTATATGAGTAATTTCGCATCTATTAAACGATTTGTATGTGTGCGTGGTTTCTACAGCAATAAAAGAAAATTATATAAAATATTTTATTGTACAGTAATACACACAAACATGTACATATATATGTGTGTGTGTGTGATTGTTTGTGTGTGTACGTTTGTGTGTATATATATATATGTAACAATTTCAGATGGAGTATATTTGTAAAAGGCAATATCAAAAAAGAAAAACTTGTCTTAACTGCCCTGTTTCGTTCTCTGAGACACATTATTAACGCAAAATAAAATCCTTGCTTTTTTCTTTTGATAAAGTTCCTCAGAGAACTAACAGCGTTGGCTAAGGTAACTTTTGATTTTGTCTTCATTCACACACACACACACAATATATATATATATATATATATATATATATATATATATATATATATATGACTGTGTGTGTGAGTATGTGTATATATACATATATATTGTGTATAAATACATAGGTAAACCTTGTATATGTATATTTTATACATATATGTGTATATATATAATTGTATATATATATATATATATATATATATATATATATATATATAACGCACATAAGCGTGTGTATATGTATTAAAAGAATAGCCATAAAAGTGACCATGTCGACGTCAATGAATACCATTCGCTTGGTATCTAATGTCGCAGTTTGCCTAAAACGATGTATTTTCCTCTTCCTCACGAGTCTTTCATTATTAAAAAGATTGCAAATTTCATAAACTCTAAACCAGACTTGCGGAAAATGACAGTGGGATCGATAACGGGATATTGCAATATTATATAATTTCCGCGCCTATATATATATATATATATATATATATATATATATATATATATATATATATATATATATATATATATATATATATATATATATATATATATATATATATATATATATAAATCTCTCTCTTTCTCTCTCTCTATATATATATATATATATATATATATATATATATAAATCTTCCTCCCTCTCCTCTCTCTCTCATATATATATATATAAATCTCTCTCTCTTTCTCTCTCTCTATATATATATATATATATATATATATATATATATATATATATATATGAAAATTGATTTAATATAGAGTCGTTGAATATGGAGGATTCATACATATATTTCTGACTGTAGATTGACGTGTTAGTATATGTGTGCAATTTTTTTTTATTTTACCTCGGTTGAAAATATATATATATGCGTGTGTGCGTGTGTGTGTATATATATATATATATATATATATATATATATATATATATATATATATATATATTTTATGAAAACAGACCATTTAAGGTACCATTACAATAATTTCTTTCACCAAAATCCTTTTTAAATATTAAATATTAGCTCTGTATTCACATTTCATCCTCCTTGGAATTACCCATTCGGTTTACCAAGTTCTTCGTAACTTATATATATATATATATATATATGGACGTAGACCACAAACGAACACACACAAACAATCACACACACACATATATATGTACATGTTTGTGTGTATTACTGTACAATAAAATATTTTATATAATTTTCTTTTATTGTTGTAGAAACCACGCACACATACAAATCGTTTAATAGATGCGAAATTACTATATATACATATATATATATATATATATATATACATAAATGCACACACAAAACACACACATTCATATATATATATGTGTATATATATATATATATATATATATATATATATATATATATATATATATATATATATATATATATATATATATATATATATATATATATATATATATATATATATATATGTGTGTGTGTGTGTGTGTGTGTGTGTGTATTGGCATGAAACAGCCTGTCGCCTCTAAGTGTTGACTTTATGTTCACTTTATATTTACACACGCTCTATCTGTGATATTGAGCACTTTATCCCAGAAATATAGCACACCTTAAGAGTATATTTCTTTATATATATATATATATATATATATATATATAGTACACATAATAGATTCGTTGGTATATTATCCAGGTGGTGCTAGTAATAATAAATATTAAACTTGATCCACAGAGACCTACAGACAATCCTTAAAAATCCATTTCGTTTATAATTTATTTCAGGAATATAATTATCAACATATTCATCTATTTAGACTTTTTAAAAATGAAATCATTTTGTCCAGACAAAAGTGAAAAGGAGAGCAATTATCCCATCAATTTTCAATTGGTATTATATATATATTGTTTTGTAGGAACCTACCACCCCTCTTGAAGATGAACTCGTCTACAAACAAGGACGTTAAAGAGTGGCATGTCAAAAGACAGAGTCGGAGAAGTTCTGGGCTGAGTTAGTTATAGACTACTCAGGCGATATCTGTACCAACTTACCAACCGAATAAACCCCACTTTATTGTTACATGTTATTTGGCGTTTGTCTTTATTAACCCCAAATTAACATCATATATATATATATATATATATATATATATATATATATATATATATATATTGTTCTGCACTGTGCACATATTTTTAAAAGTAACGGTTAAAAAACGGTTCTTTGTCTTTCTTAAGATATATATAACATCTTTAACAAACACTTTTCGTTTTCTTTAATAATTATCACACTCGTCCTGCATATTGTTAACAAATATGTTGTTAAGTTTGATATACGTTGAATTATATATTTCGTATATTATTTACAAATCTTATTAGAATAAAGTCTTACATGTTCTTCCGATTCACAAACCCCCACAGTCTTTTGAATCGGAGTCTGGGTTTGTCTCTCGTTTCCGATTTAGGATTGTGTTTTGGAGTCCTTCTACACTTCTAACGTCTCCGACTGAACACTAAAATTGTATTCCCTAATTAAATCTTCACCTCTTCACGTCTAGATTAAGCCCTTAACTTAAGTGTTTGCCCTTTGTCTTTGTTAAATACTAAAATTTAACTAAAAGAGATTACCTATCTAGAAACAGTCACGAGTTAAATTCATGAACAAAATTCAAACGGATAGAGATGTCAACTTAATAATCAATAATAGAAACTTTTAAAGAGATTATAAAAAAGATTACTAGAAGTAAACTTATATTTTAAAATAAAATTTTATTCTTTTAATGTACTTTCTATGAATATTTTTCTAATCGACTATTTCATAGAAAATCCCCAAAATTTAAAAAAAAAATTAAATCACTAACAAATATCAAATTAAATTATTTGTAGACAGTTTAGAGACATTCAAATTTGTATCAAACATTATAATCTTTATGAACCCCTAAAATAACAATTTCAAAGTAAAACAAAATAACAGCGTCTGTTTCTAGCCTTTTTTTTTCAAAGAAAATTAGTGACACCTTCTCTCATGACATCCTTCTCTCTTTTTCTCTCTGTGTTTTTCTTCTCTACCCCTTCGATATCAATATATAACTTCCGTTAAGTTAACCGTTTAAATGTGTCAATATCTGCTAACTCACTCATGTCTTCTCTCTCCCCCCTCACTTCTTCACTTCTTTAATTTACATATGTTTAATACGGCCTTTCAAAAATGTGTAAATTTTCTTTTCATTTTTTTGTTTGGAAGTAAAGTCTGATGATCCCCAGTCCTTTTAAAAGGGCTGTGGTGAAATAATTTATTACATGGAACCTTAAAGTGGTCTGTTTTTATTTAAATTAATGTATGTATATATATATATATATATATATATATATATATATATATATATATTTATATATATATGTGTGTGTGTGTGTGTGTGTGTATATATATATACGTAAAAGTTTGTCAATTACCTGATTCAGGTTACCTTCAGCATCTCGACTCTAGTGTTTCGTCCACTCTTCAGACGTATCAGCAATTGACTCTCTCTTTCACTTTATAATATATATATATATATATATATATATATATATATATATATATATATATTTCGTTTTTTGCCATGAAAAAATTCTACATTGGACGAAACGTAGATTAATACTATTTTCCTATTGTCTTTTACCATTATAAGATTGTCTTTTCTACAGGTTAACACTGTTATATATATATATATATATATATATATATATATATATATATATATATATATAAATGTTATTTTGTCATGAAAAATTCCACATTCGACGAAACGCGTCCGTTAATATTTTTCCTATTAATTTTTTTTTTTATAATATTGTCTTTTTTTCTACACTTAACGCTGAGAAATTTTCACACACACACACACATACATATATATATATATATATATATATATATATATATATATATATATATATATATATTGATGAAATGGAGTCCATACAAACCCATAGGCAATAGTTTATTTCTTTGAACCAGATCGATTCCGAATCATCAGACCAAGAAATTTTACAACAATAAATAAATGTTGTAAAAATGTTGTAAAATCTTTTGACTAATCATTCGGAATCGATCTGGTACCGTGAAAGAAAATATTACTGATGTATTTCTAAGGTTTCCAGATTTTCATATTGAAGTCTATGTGTGTGTGCTTTTATATATATATGTATATCTATATATATATATATATACATACATACCATATATATATATATATATACATATATACACACACATATATATATATACATACATACATACACACACACATATATACATACACACACACACACACATGTATATATATATATATATATATATATATATATATATATATACCAGATCAATGCTAGAAATTTGAATTAATGAAATTTATTTAGGACGCTTAAAATAATAAGAACCATCAGATATATAATCCCGTATTATTTCTTTTATATATATACATATATATACACATATATATATATATATATATATGTCTGTGTGTGTCTGTGTAAATGTGTGTGTGTATATGTGTGTGTCAGTATCTATGTCTGTGTCTGTGTGCCTCTGTGTGGGTGTTCATGACCTTTACATACATACATACATACATATATATTTATTAAATTACCTTTACATACATACATACATACATATATGTTTATTATTTTTATTGTTACAAATAACATTGCTCGATACAAACGGGTAGAGCATAATATAATTATTTTTCTTTTTTAAAAATATGATTCCATAACAACACAGAAATTTCTGTTTCAAAACGGAAACTTAAGTTGTAAATTTGATTATAAAAAATTAGACTTAAGTTCAGATTTTCGTTCCATTGTCAAGCGATGTTAGGAATAACTTCCTAAGAATTGTACTTAATTTATAATCGCAGACAATCATAATATTTTGAGTTGTTAAGGTTAACGAAAATTTAATCTATTTTGATTAGGGGTGGTTGGGTTTTTTAATTTCCTAGACAAATTATGTATCAATATATGTTACTTACAAAGTTAGGGTTAAGTTGTTGGTGCCTGCTCAGAAATTTAAAAACGAAAAATAATAATTATTATATATATATATATATATATATATATATATATATATATATATATATATATATATATATTACTCTTTGGGATTTAATTTTAATTTCAAGGGTGTATAAAACACTCTTGATGTTGAAAAAATTTATAAAATGTGTTTATATTTAAGAGCATTGGAAAATACTGCCCAGTATATTAATATGAACGTTTGGTAGGTAGCTGGGCTCCAACCCCGACCTTCACGTCTTGTGGGGCAAATACTTAACAAAGTCAACTACTAGAGCAGTCTTTGACATAAAAAATGATAGCTTTATTTATGGTATCTTGCAGTTGCATTGGTTATGTCTTTTGTATAAATACTCAATTTTTTTTTACAGTGACATTTAAACAAGAATGCTACGTTTTTAATCATAAAAATAAAAATATTTCACCATAACCACGAAATATCTCATTATTACGAAGAGGAGATAAACCTACCTGATCAATTTTGTTTCATATTGGTGATTTATATGAGAGAATAGAATTTTGACTTATATTTATTTTTTTTTATATTTCTCCTTTTTGTTTCTTAATTTCTATATTATTATTATTATTTTTATTATTATTATTATTATTAATAATAATAATAATAATAATAATAATAATATTTTATTTCCTTTAATTTCTATTGTATATACACTTGCTTCCGGGTCCCAATCAGAGATCTAAGGTCTGAAATGTCTCCATGACATATTCCACTGATCATTTATGTAAGAAAATAAATATCAGACATTTTATATAGAGAAAACTCTTCGTAATATGTGAATTGTACCTGTGAGTTCAATTTTTTGCATGTCATTAAGGCATGGGCTTCCAGGAATCCCTTCAATGAGTCTATCGGAACCTTTTCCAATCAATCCGAGCGCTCCAGCTACTGCTGGAATTATTGATGTCCTCATGTGACACATTTTTTAGATTATTATTATTAGTGTTATCATTTCTCTGTTTTTCTTTTCTTTTTTCTTTCTTTCCCATTTCTTTTTCTTCCTTTTAACACTTTCTTTGATTTTCCTTTGTTTTTCTTTCCTTTTTTTCTTTCGTTTCCATTTATTTTTCATGCACGTTTTAGACTTTCTTTTTTTTCTTTCTTCATCTCTTTTTTCTTCATTTTGCAGTTGTCCATTTTTCTTTTTTCTTTTTTATTTATTTATTTCGTTCTACCTTTTCATTCCCTTCTATTCTTTCTTCCTTTCTTTCCCATATATTCATCCCTTCCGTTTTACAGTTCTTTTTCTTTCCTTCTTTCTTTCTTTCTTTCTTTCTTTCTCAGTTTTTCCATTTTCTTTCCAACTTTTTATTAACTTGCATTATTTCTTTCTTTCTTTTTTCTGTTCCATTCATTTTTTTCTCTCACGTTTCTGACTTTTTGTTTTTCTTCCTTTTTTCGCTCTATTTCATTTTTCAGGTGTCAATTTTCTTTCTTTCTTTTCATTCTTTTCTATTCTTTCTTCCTTTCTTTTCCATTTATTTATCGCTCCCGTTGCCTCTTTCTTTCTTTCTTTCTTTCTTTCTTTCTTTCTTTTTTCATTGTTGCTATTTGCCTCTTTCTTTCTTTCTTTTTTCATTGCTGCCATTTGCCTCTTTCTTTCTTTCTTTCTTTCTTTCTTTCTTTCCTTTTTTCTTCGATCCTACCTTCCCTTCATTTCCTTTTTTTCCTTTATTCCTTCCTTTCCTCTATTCTCCCTTCTATTCTTTATTTCTCTTTCGTTGTTACTATTTGCTTCTTTCTTTCTTTCTTTCTTTCTTTTTTCCTTTCTGTCTTTCCTTTTTTCTTCGATCCTACCTTCCCTTCATTTCCTTTTTTTCCTTTATTCCTTCCTTTCTTCCATTCTCCCTTCTATTCTTTCTTTCTTTCGTTGTTGCTATTTGCCTCTTTCTTTCTTTTTTCTTTCTTTCTTTCTTTCTTTCTTTCTTTCATTGTTGCTATTTTCCTCTTTCTTTCTTTTTTTCTTTCTTTCTTTCTTTTTTCTTCGATCCTACCTTCCCTTCATTTCCCTTTTTTCCTTCATTCCTTCCTTTCTTCCATTCTCCCTTCTATTCTTTCTTTCTTTCTTTCTTTCTTCATTCCCTCTTTCTCTCTATCTCTTCCTTAATTCTTTCTTCCTTCATTTCTTCTCGCCTTCCATCCATCTTGGTTCATCCTTTTTTTTTTGTATTTTCCTTCATGTTCCTTGCCCAATAATTCTCTTTATTGCTACGCACACCAACTCGCGCATTACCCCTCTGATGTGGTGCTGTTAGAAACAGCACAAAAGAAAATGTCCCCTAAAATACACACGCAATTCAATAAGTCCATTTATAAACGGACAAAATAAACAAATGAAACGTTTTACCCTCGAAACATAAACTCGCCGAAAATATCGGACAAATGTAGAAACGATGATCAACAATGGCGAAAAAGAATGCTTACACCGAACGGCGGGAAACGCATGGGGATATTTTTATTTTCTTTTCTTTTTTTTTTTAGGTATGGGATAGAAGAAGCGACACCATAATTAGACCAGAAGCGACCGGTCTGTCAACCGCATCATCTTGGTAGGTAAACAGCAGTTAAGGGCGTTGGCTAATCAGGGGGAATCATTCAAATAATCTAAAATGGAAAGATGCAAAAAGATTGAAAATGAAAGTTAATGTCGACACGAGATTCAAGTGAAGAAAAAGCGTGGGCGTTTGACAGAGAGACGCAGTCTAGAAATAAAGACAACGGAAAACCTGGGGCAAGTTTCGCTTTTGATATGAATTCGAACTTGGATATTCTCCCACTCTTTCTTTCTTTCTTTCTTTCTTTCTTTCTTTCTTTCTCTCTTTTTCTCTCTATTTCATGTGGTGACGATATTTGCGTTGCTGATCATTCAATTGGAATAAAGCCGTGTTTGTTTTCCTCTCTTGTTTTAGGGCATAACGGCCACTTCCGTGGTCTGCAGACCGCCTTTGCGGCTAAAAAACACCTCTTTTCGCGCCACGCCCTGTTTACAGCTTCATCCTCACAGCCTCTATCTATCTATCTATTATTATTATTATTATTATTATTATTATTATTATATGTAGTCGTCGTCGTCGTAATCGTAGTATGAAAGTTTTCTGTCTCTCTTTTCCTTGTTTAATTCCCGATTTCCCTGCCGGAGGTACCAAATTGCTTAATCTTTGGAACATTAGAAAGCAGAGCCATCCAAGCGGTTTCAATCCTGGCAACAATTTCATACACTTATCAATAAAATAAAGCAATTTACTAGAAGTAGCAATAATTGACAAATGGCCTGAAGAGAAAGAAATAATAAAAAAATAGATAATGAGAATTTTTTCTCGCCATACAAAGCGAATTAATACCTAGATCTAAACAATAAATAAGGCAGGCGCATCCCGTACCACGGGAGCTTGCTATGGCGTGTAGCATGAAATCAATTGTCTTTGTTGTTCAACGTCTAGTTGCAGTACCATAATATTTCTAAAGTTGATACAATTGTATTCGTGTTCGCTTCGCCTTGATGTAATGGTTAACAAGCAAATCCTTCCGATCACTAAGAGAAAATTCGATCTTCACTGATTCGTTCTATGATTGGTTGATTTTTCTTTTTTTTTTGTCTTATTTAGCATCGACTTTTGTATGGGCGACCTCGTGGGGATCAAACTGAAGACTCAGTAATAATGGCCAACAAGACTTGACTCGTTAACCATTACCCAACGTCCAGATAAGAGTGAACTTAGGTTTGTAGTAATGGTTCCCGAGAATAGATTTCTCTCAGTGGCTCAATGGCGAGACGGTAAAATGAATATATCAATCCTAGTTTGGCATAAGGTCACAAGCACATGCAGCTGCATTTGGATTGAGGATATCACACTCACGGATAAATTTTATAATAAACCCCCAAACTCATATGACAAGATATCTGAAGTGTTTAGTAATTATTAATTCCAAATCCTGAATTTTTAATCAGCCCTAACAAACATTTGTCTGTTCAACACGAATTCCCCAACAATCTTTCTTTCTTTTTTATCTTTCTTTCGGTCTTTCGTTCTTTCGTTCTTTCTTTCTTTCGGTCTTTCTTTCTTTCTTTTCCATTTATTTCTTCCCTTAGATTTTAAATTTTTTGTTTTTCTTTCTTTCTTCCTGGCTTTTTTCTTTATTTTTCAGTCGTCCATTTTCTTTCTTTCTTTCATTCTTTCTTTCGTTCTTTCTTTCTTTGTTTTCCTCGCGTATTTTCTCATTATCCATTGTAAATATTTCCTTCTTTCTTTCTTTCTTTCTTTCTTTCTTTCTTTCTTTTCCATTTATTACTTTATTTTTCAGTCGTCCATTTTCTTTCTTTCTTTCTTTCTTTCTCTCGTTCTTTATTTCTTTCTTTCTTTTCGATTTATTTTTTCTCTTACATTTTTATTTTTGGTTTTTTCTTTCTTTCTTCCACTTTTTTCCTTTATATTTCAGTTGTCCATTTTCTTTCTTTATTTCTTTCTTTCTTTCTCTCGTTCTTTATTTCTTTCTTTCTTTCTTTCTTTCTTTCTTTCTTTCTTCTGCTCGCGTATTTTCTCATTATCTATTGCCAATTTTTACTTGCTTTCTTTCTTTCTTTTCCATTTATTTTTTCTCTTACGTTTTTATTTTTGTCTTTTCTTTCTGTCTTCCTCTCTTTTTTCTTTATATTTCAGTAGTCCATTTTCTTTCTTTCTTTCTTTCTTTCTTTTTTTCTTTCTTTCTTCTCCTCGCGTATTTTCTCATTATTTATTGCCAATATTTCTTTCTTTCTTTCTTTCTTTCTTTCCAGGCTTGTCAAGTCAGTAACCCGCTGCAGTCCTCTACATTTTCTATCGATGTATATTTATTTTGACACAACAAACTCCTTTTCTTCTTCATATGTTCAAAGAATTTCAGTTGTCCCTCTCGGATTCCCAATGTATATGTCTTGAAGCTCTTTCTGTTGCCTAGAGGTTATGTCCTTAGTATTCTCAGCATCCTTCTGTAAAACCAAATTTCCGTTGCCTCCATTTTTCAATACATCCATAAAGAGATTGCCCAGCTTTTAGTGTCATAAAAGGGATATATATATATATATATATATATATATATATATATATATATATATATATATATATATATATATATATATATAACATATTAACAATCTATTCTTTGTCTCTAACGAGATTTTCCTGTTCCTTCAATAATATTCTCTATAAAATATATACATATATTTTTTTAATCATTCCACGCAAGCCATGTGGGAATGCCACTAGATATGGAAAGTGAAAGCGAAAGAAAAGACGGAGAATAGGAAGGATGAAAGGATTTTTTTAATTATTTATCATCCTGTCGGATTCCGATCCTTATTTGATCTGCAACTGATATATATATATATATATATATATATATATATATATATATATATATATATATATATATATAATAAATTAACTGATTTAAAATATGGTTTATTCGCTACACAGGAATTACTATGTTTCAAAAAACCGAAGCTAAACATTTCAAATTTAATTATATAATTAAATTAAAAGCATTAGTTCTGTTTCATCTTCAAGCCAATTTTGGAATAACTTACTTTTAAATTTACTGACTTTTTAACGCACATACAATTAATATTTTTTTGTTTCCAGGGATACAGAGAAAACCAAATATTTACACAGGGTCGGTAGCGTGTTCCTTCTTATTTCGTATCAATTATGAATTACGTTCGAATAAGAGGTTAAGTTTAGGGAGGGTAGAGGTGCATTTTCCTTTTTATTATATATATATATATATATATATATATATATATATATATATATATATATGTGTGTGTGTGTGTGTGTGTGTGTGTGTGCGTGCGTGTATCTGTGTGTGTGTGTGTATGTATAATAAATTAACTGATTTAAAATATGGTTTCTTCGCTACAGAGAAATTACCATGTTTCAAATACCGAAGCTAAACATTTCAGATTTAATTATATAATTAAATTAAAAGCATTAGTTATGTTTCATCTTCAAGCCAATTTTGGAATAACTTATTTTTAAATTTACTGACTTTTAAACGCACATACAATTAATTTTTTTTTTGTTTCCAAGGATACACAGAAATCCAATTATTTACATTTTTTTTTATAATATATATATATATATATATATATATATATATATATATATATATATATATAAGAAAAAATTTTAAAAAAGCATTACATTTGAATTTTCCAGCTATAATCTTAAATATATTTCTGGTTTACACTGCACCTTGAGAGTGGTTTAAATGTACCAAATACTTATTCATTCCCTCCTTTTATTTGTTTTCTCACATTCTCTGATGAAGTATTAATAAAAGTGAAACATGTTAAATTGATATACGTTTTCTATTTGTTCTTTATTTTATCATCATGTCGGATTCCGATCCATACTTGAACTGCATTTGATCCTTAACTCGTGACTGACTGATGCGTTATTCTGGACATCGACTCTATAGATTTGTCAGTGAACCTTTTTTTAATTGTTCCCGCCTGTCTTCAGGATTTTTCGACAGTTAATTTCTACGCTTGTTGGAATACTCTTATTATTGGTGATATATATGTATGTATCCACACAGACACAGACACACAGACACACACACACACACACACATATATATATATATATATATATATATATATATATATATATATATAATATATATATATATATATATAATATATATATTATCATATATATATGTATATATATATATAATATATATATAATGATATATATATCTATATATATGTATATATAAATAAAAAGAAAGAACAGTAAGATATATAAATTCGCTTGAGGATGAAATGGAACTAATGTCTTTAATTTAATTACAAAATTAAATTCGTAGCTTTTAGCTTCCATTTTTGAAACATTACTAGAACTGTGTAGCGAAAAAACAATATTTTAAATAAATCAATTTATAATACATATATATATATATATATATATATATGTCAGATATGTAGTGCAGTTCAATTTATATTACATGAATCATTCATGCAAAAAGTAGATTAGTAAAGTTAATGATATAAATGGAGAAAAACATCTTCGCAAACAAATTTATTAAAGTTACATTAACCCACGAACATCACGATGAATGTTATGATCCTTGTTTTTAATAACTTCAAGTTGTATAAGGTCTTTTTTTATTTTGCTAGTACTTTCAGCTGTACTTACAGCCATCCTCAGACATAGAAATTAATTTGTTTTTGTTTTTTTTAGTAAATGCAGGTATTATTCGGACACGAAAGATTAAATGCGAATCTAAATATGATTTTTTTAGAAATGTATTATTGTTAACGGAGAAATTTTGGAGCGTGCAGTCGCAACGCTAAGGTCGATTTTTTTTTTTTTTTTAAATTTTAGAGAGTGTATGAATGATTCAATTATATATATATATATATATATATATATATATATATATATATATATATATATATATAATAATAGACAATCGGAAAATAGTACTTTATTACGTGAAATTCAAAATTGCCAATATGGAAAACAAAAACTCAGACTTAGTCAAAAAAAAGTTACTCACATTTTAAACGGTTCTGGGTAAGACAAGAAACTACATCCGCGTCATGAGTAAGACGATAAACAAGCAAGGCTTTTATCAGAAGGTTTTGAAGAGCACAGAACCACCTCTTAATGGCTGGTGTTCCCAGGTTCCCTTAACCGGAGTGGTAGCAGCTGTTAGGGTCCCAGCTATGAGCAAATAGTTAACCACCCCCAAAAAAATGGGTTGAAAACACTATGGAAATAGATTTTAACGCCAGAAATAGATTTTTGTAATTAAATTTCCAGCAATAAATTTTGGAAGAAAAATGTCAATGTTCAATTTTGAAACAAAAATATTATCAGCAATACTTTTCTGAAAAATAGGTTTTAATACCAGCAATACTTTTTGTAAAAAATTATTAATAGCAATGAATTATTGAAGAAGAATTATTACTAGCAATAGATTTTTGCAAAAAAAATGTATTACCAGCAATAGAGTTTTCCAAAAAAGTATGTATTACCAGCAATAGATTTTTGCAAAAAAGAATGTATTA